GAGAGGGAACCTTCCCACTCCCACACAAAGCCCTACATCTTTTCTTTCTTTTTGTGTTTTAAGTTAATATTGAAGTTGCTAAGCCAACTTCTGATGGTTGTCAGAAGGCTTGGGATTTAACCAGCCCCCACAAAATGTTTAATCTAGTTAACTCATTATTTAACTGAACTAATCCAATAACTTGATGTTGATAGGCTAACTATCTTACCATGAAACAGAGTGTTCCAATACAGTATTTATCAGGCTTTAGTAACTCTGCTACCCCTGTTCTGAAGGTGAGAAACTATATTAAGGAACATGGACCTCGACAACGATCTGCGAGGGAGAGCTGGAAGAGGAGCAGTTACAGCTGTGCAAGCACCAGTGGTGTGAGCGGTGCCAGCAGCAGCAGCGCAAGCATGGTCAGCTCTGCAAGCAGCAGTGGTTCTAGTGTTGGCAACTCTGCTTCAAACTCAAGTGCCAACATGAGTCGAGCACACAGTGATAGTAACTTGTCCACAAGTGCTGCAGAAAGAATCCGGGATTCAAAAGTAAAGTTTCTAATCATGTGCATGTGTTTTAACCTGTGTAACTTGTTAAAGTCATTCATGTGTTCTTGATTGGGATATTTGTACCAAAGGAGTGTGATTAGTAACTGTGGATCTGCTGAAATTATCTAGCCAAATCAATGCTGACTGCTTTCTGACATGACCATAAGGAATGTAAACTTTTGTTCTTCTCCACATTTTCTCTGCAAGTGAAAGTCTGTTGATGTTTGCATGTGGTAGATCTTCTGATTGCTTTTGAATGTTTTGAGTAAGGTGAGTGCTTGAAGGGTTGATGCATCTAATCTCATTTGTTGAATGAACATGCAGTTTTATCAATAAAATTGATTAAAGATTAATCTCATCTATACATAATTTCTGAATAGTAAAGACTCGCTTTGTATTTTTGGCTAGAAGTTTCATCAGGCTTTTTGAATCATCTTCTATTTACTCTTCCAGCATGTCTCATGAAATTACTTGGTGAGAAGGGACATACTGAAGCGTGACTCAATAAAAGTAGTATTGTAGCACTTGTCCTGTCTCCATAATTTCAAGAGTGGAGGAGAGGAACAGTTCCTGCTTGTTCTTCAACATCCCAAGCTGGACTTTGGTTTGATTCCTTATTGTAGGATTATAACTTCTGTAATAAAAATTCTCTAATCAAAGACTCAGCTATGCAACATAACAGGACGATCATGTGCCATATAACCAAGACATGGCGAATGGTCTTGATGTGCAAGGTAGAACAAGACTTAAATACCCACCTAATGCAGTCAAAACTGATTCAAGCAATAATAAGATTATTTTTGGATGAATGCTTGTACCACTTCTGACAAATCATTTCAGCTATTTTAAGAGCTAATCTTAATTTAGAGGTTACTGTGTTTGTTGTTTAAAAAGCAATTTCTAATCTACAGAACAAAATCTTATTCTTTGTCTTGTCTGTGTTTTGACAGAAACGTTCTAAGCAACGGAAACTACAGCAAAAGGCTTTACGCAAGAGACAGCTGAAAGAACAAAGACAGGCTCGTAAGGAGAGACTGAGTGGATTATTTCTTAATGAAGAAGTACTATCTTTAAAAGTGACTGAGGAGGACCATGAAGGAGATGTGGATGTTTTGATGTGACAGGGGTGAATTTATCAGTGTTCTTTCTAAGCCTTAAATGTATTATCCTTATTGTTTACATATATTTCTTGACCAAATTTTGATTAGCATTAACAATATAATCCAGATTATTTCTCAACTGTAACTTTGGGTAAGATGTTTCAGTATTAAGTAACTTGAACTTTTTGAGGCTAATTTTGCAACAGAAATTTCAGAAACTTCATTGACTTCTGAAAAGCTGCTGAGTAGTTACTATTTTAAGGCAAAATTAATTTGGCTAATATGTTGCTTAACTGAAGACATCAGTCTAACAATGCTTCTGGATGACGCTAAGCATGCTGTAGTATGCTTCAATGCTTCAGCTTTT